AGCGTCCTTGCTCCTTTGCTCCTAGTAGCGTCCTTGCTCCTAGTAGCAATGCCCTTTGCTCCTAGTAGCGTCCTTGCTCCCAGTAGCGATGCCCTTTGCTCCTAGTAGCGTCCTTGCTCCTAGTAGCCTTTGAATCAGACGAGTGAGGTGATCCTCCATGATGCAACCTGGCCGGATCGTGTGGACCGTGCTCTGAATCTGCTCTCGAGACCATCCTCCTTGCAACAGCTCGTTGACGCCCTTTACGCTCCTCAGCAGGAATTACCAGACCAAAAATTGAGGAATGCAGTGGCGGGTGGCTTAGGAGCAAGGACGCTACTAGGGGCTCCTGGCATCGCTACTAGGAGCAAGCCTTCAAAACCTTTTCATGACCCTTTGCCATGCCTCGCCTTGTTCTTGCCCAAAAGATCTGGATGAGGATACATGCAGCTTCCCTCCAACGCTGCCTGATGTCTTAGAAGATGTGCTGGCGCCGGTTCCATTCCCCCCCAAATAGCCGACCTGATAAACCAAATCCCTTCTATTTTCCCCCGAAAACATCAGCTGATCAACTTAGTGGTCACCTTGGTCTTCTCATGTCGCACAGGAGGGGTGGGCCAACATATTAGCTTATCGGCCTGAGCCCACAAAAACCGAGTATGTCGGCACGCAGCACATTGACAACATAAAGGGAAGAATGAATAGGAATCTTGGAGGCCATTGCTACTAGGTTGGAGGCCATCTCTAGTAGGTTGGGGGCCACCAGGTTGAAGGCCATTGCTACTAGGTTGGAGGCCATCTCTAGTAGGTTGGGGGCCACCAGGTTGAAGGCCATTGCTACTAGGTTGGAGGCCATCTCTAGTAGGCCACCAGGTTGGAGGCCATTGCCAAGAGGTTGGAGGCCATTGCTACTAGGTTGGAGGCCATTGCTACTAGGTTGGAGGCCATCTCTAGTAGGTTGGAGGCCATGGCTACCAGGTTGGAGGCCATTGCTACTAGGTACTAGCGTTAAGTCGACTCAGCTTGTGTAAAGTCGACTCGAAACAGTGTGCCCTTGAAGAACTGCACTCCACAGGGATGTCTAAGCATAGATTGTGTTGATCTAGAACATATGTTTTGTGCTGTGCCCATGGTGTGCCTGATTGTCACTTGTTTGTTTGGGGGAGGGCAGCTTCCACAGGGGTGAAGGGTCAAGGACTTGTGACAGTTTTGATGCAGAGCTCCTTGGGCCCATGCTCCACTGCTGCTGCTGCTCCTGCTGCTTCTGTTTTGGTTGACCGTAGGCTGTAGGACGACTGTAGGAGTCGTGCTCTCGCGAACCTCGCGCAGGGTTGCGCGGGGCTCGCGCAGAGGCCTATAGTCACTTGTGTGTGTGCATGCAACCTATTCTCTACAGTAAGTTGCGCATTGGTGTGAATGGTGCTGTGCCATTGAAATTTTATCCTTGAAACATCTAGAAGGCAAGGCCAAGTGCCAGCCATACCACAGTGTGCGCACACACTTTTCCTTGAACATACCACTTTCCTGCCGTGCTCATTTTTCAACTGTGCCCATTGTGCTTTGACCAAAGTGAGTCGACTTCACGCGAGTGGGCTGACTTCTCGCTGAATCCTTGTGCCCATGCAGTGAGTTAACTTCACGCGACGTGGGTTGACTTAAGCACGCCGCTTGTACTAGGTTGGAGGCCATTGCTACTAGGTTGGAGGCCATCTCTTGTAGGTTGGAGGCCATTGCTACTAGGTTAGGTTGGAGACCATTGCTACTGGGTTGGAGGCCATCTCTAGTTGGAGGCCATTGCTACTGGGTTGGAGGCCATTGCTGCTAGGTTGGAGGCCATCTCTTGTAGGTTGGAGGCCGTTGCTAGTAGTCTAAGGAAAGAAGGTAAAAGAAAACTGGAAAAACACAAACACATCATTGGTCACACTAACTGAAAACGATGGGACTGCGCAGTGGTGTGATGTGACAGGAAAGGCCAAGGACAAACACATGCGGATGAGCAACCCAAAGGGCCCTATCTTTGCCACATTGGGGTAGGGGCTTGTGGTAGCCAAAAACAGTTTCACCCAAGATTGAAGAACACATTTAAAGAACAGCACAAAGAAGGAAGGGAGGAATGGACACGGGCTACAAAGAACATTATGAAGAAAAAAGACGATGTTCACGCGAAGCGGAGATGTTTTTGTCGGGAATGCGATTCCGGACAAAGGATCTCCACACCAACATTTGTTACTAGTAGTAAGAATGCTCCTAATTAGTAGCGTTGCTTGTTTTAGTTTCCTTGTCCTTTTCTGTCCTTGGGAACCGTTTAGATCTCGTGCCGCACAGTATGCCCTCCGGCTCCCTCCGCTTGAGCCACTTGAGTCTCCTTTAAGAGAGACTTCGATGCAGATTGACGATCTAAGGAGGTCGTGGCACCTGCAGAGCACAGCAAGCTGGGCAAAATAGTAGACAAGGACTTCACTCCTGACACGCAGAAATACAGTCTTACCCAAGAATTATATAACTTAACTACTTTGTCCTTAAAAGCGTCTCACCTTGTCTTCAAACCTGATGCGGCCGACTTTAACTGTCATGCCTCGTCGGCAGTCGGCAAAGCGGTTGATCGTACCAAGCAAAGCGGACCTGGATGGACTTCCATTGTTTACTCCGCAGGAGGACAGCTTCCTGTCAGGCGTGGTTCGTGGTATGGGTTCGCACCTAAGCCACGAGCGTGCAAAAGAACTTGGGATGCTGGAAGTGCCGAATATGGCCACAGCTCCTCGACAGCACAGGGCGCAAACATGCACAAGGTCTTCAAAAGAACAGAAGAAAGCAAACAGTCACTAAGCGTTGATCACCAAACAAGGCCTTTTCAGTTAGAACTTGTCAGTCCTAAGATCAGGTGGTGCGAGAATTCCTGGAGGATTTCGGCGAGAAGACCGTCGTTTCAAACAAGCGCCAGCGCGTAGCATGAGACAAAAAGGGCTATGCTCAACCGATCTCAACCTCTTTTGCAGAACGTGTAGTGTGAACTGTGAGTTTTTCATAGATTGAAGATTGGAGGCCATCGCTATAGGGTTGGAGGCCATTGCTAGGTTGACTCAAAGATAGATTGAAGATTGCAAGCCGATACACGACACTTCTTGTCAAGCCGATACTCGACACAGCGATGCTGCTCCAAGGCTGCGGCCGTGAGCAATCTTTGGATATGTGCGCCGACCTCACAAGCGACGATGTTTTTCCTTTTTTCCGTGTGAGTGAACAACTGCATAGAAAGAGCGGTTAAGCTGCAATGGCTTGTCGCCACAGACAGCGTAGTTGCTCTGACGTTCCATCCTGAAAAGATGCCTCCAAATCCTTGAATCAGTTCGTCAGGCCAATTCAAGTGCTTGCCGAGTCTTACTGCCCCCATTCAGTTTGGCCAAGGCTAAGATGTGTTTGGTGCTTGGTCTCCATGTTCGCAACGGAATTCTGGCGAGGACAGCAAGACCTGTGCCAGCAAGATCAAGTTTGATTCACCACATGTGCTTCGTGAGTCTGCCAGGACCCCACTTTGGGATTTGCAAGTTTTGGGATGAGAAGTGACAGCTTCGATGAGAAGCAGAATTGGAAGCTTCGAGCCCCATTTGTCATGAGCCAAAGCAAGATTGATGCATCTGCATGGAGCCAATTTGGAGACGAACACCTGAAGCGTGGGCACAGTTTGTCCAATCTAGAACCTAAACCGGTGTTTTCACGCATGGCCTGTCACATAGCTGACTCGACTTGTTGGGAGTCGGAGATTCCATTGATCCGAGGGTTTCTCACGGTAAAAAGGCGCACCTTCAGACCTGTGCTTGAGTGATGTGGAGCTTACTTGGGTTGGGCAGTCGATTCGATCCATCGATTGGCCGCAAACAATTCGTCGACCTCCAAACTAGTCAGATGATTGAATTTCCTAGGTGGTCCACTGCCCACTGCTTTGGACAGCTTCAAGCAACGTTTGCGGAGTAATTTTTCAGCGGCAGACGTGAGACCAAACAGCAGCCATTTGGTGCTTTGGCGATAGATGGGGCCTTAGGTGAACCACCGAGCAGCGTAGCGAGAGCAAGATGGAGCAGGACCAAAAGGGCCAAGGGTTACATACACAGCAAAACCCTACCACTACTAGGAGCGATCGGACGCTACTAATTAGGGGCTCCTGGCCGTGAACGGAGCGATCGGGATTAGTCCGATTTGCCGTCAAGACCGTTCCCTGAGACCCGACCTGTGTGAGGAAGTCCTGGAGAAGATCCTGGATGATGCATGGAGTAGTTTCAAACTGCACCTGCTCCAGCTTCTTGGATAACTGTAATATGGATAACTGTAATATGTTTACTCTTGAAAAAAACACATCAAGTTCAGGGATGTTCTGTGTGTAAATAGAAAGCATTTCTGTTTGAAGTGATTGAACAAAGGACGTAGGGAGCACTAGCAAGCACTTACATGCGAGTAAGCACTCGTCAGAAGAGGAAAAACAAGGAAGAAGTCTACTAGGCTGGAGGCCATCCCTATTGGGGTAAAGGCCATCGCTTCTAGAGTAGACATTAAGGAGAAGTCTCAAGTTTTTGTCTACTAGGTTGGAGGCCATCGCTATTAGGTTGGAGGCCATCGCTTTTTGGTTGGAGGCCATCGCTTCTAGAGTAAAAACCAGGAGAAGTCTCAAATCTTTGTCTATTCCCTTGGAGTGATCAATTGTCGCGACACACGCCAAAGTGGGCCGCCAGCATTAGGTCCATCGCTGTCTCCCACTCGATGCAGACTCCGCCCATGAAGGACCTGAAAGCAAACTCAACATTTCAATCCTCATGGAGTTATTGAAGTTTTTGGAGTCTTTGCGAACATATGAACGATGTAGCTTCTTTGTAACTAGTAGCTTCTTGTTCCTAGTACGGCCAGGAGCCCCTAGTAGTGTCCTTGCTCACATGCTCCTGTTTTTTTTGATATTGCGTTTCCAAATTGGTCCAGATCTCCGCTTTGTGAGGGGCCTACTGGTCGGACGTACTCAATCTCCGAGTGTGGAACTGGCGAATGTATGAGCCGTGAATGGAGCCGTGGAGTGGCCAAGCTGAAATGCGTGGGAGAAACATTTTGAAGGCATCCCAGCCTTTTGAGATGAAAGGAGAGAAACGGGGAAAGGAAAGACACGGTGACACAGATTCTAAAGGTCACTAAAAGCAAGAAAGAAAGAACGAAAGCCGAAAGAGCGTGGACCAAAGGAACAACTGAAATGTAGAGAAGAACCAAAGTTCTTGCAGTGCAGGGAACAATTTGGGGCTAGTACTTGGAGCCCTGAGGCCTCAAAGTAGCGTCGTTCCGACAATTCCTGTAGGCCTTAGATGTCAGGTGTCCATTCGCCGCCAGGCAGTGTCGCACTTGTTACTAGAAGCGATGCACTTGTTTCTAATAGCTTCTTGTTACTACTAGTAAGGCACTTGTTACTAGTTACTAGAAGCGATGCACTTATCCGCTGAAAGTCCACTGATTGCTAGGTTTTATCTAGTAGTAACAAGTGCCACGCTAGTAGTAACAGGTGCCTTACTAGTAGTAACAAGAAGCTATTAATTTAATTCTAATAGCTTTTGTTACTACCAGTAAGGCACTACGACTACAGGGTCTTAACCCCGACTACTCTGTGCTTGGTTCACTGCTGCCACTCGCTGGGTGCATTTTCCGCTGTCTGGCTCCTACCTCTCTTGTCTGCACCTCCATCTCCTCCAAGGCAGGGCCTTTTTCAATTCCACTCAAAGGGACACAGAGCTTCAGTGGCAGAAATCTCTTCAAAACTTGCTCACTCACCGCAGCAGTCACCAGAAGGGGCTTGAGCCTTTGCACACTAACCTTGAGTTCCTGTGTTCGCAGACAGATGACATCCAGACAAGAATATTTCGGCGGATCGCGATGCGGAAGTAGATTTGCCTCGAGCTGATGTGCTCTCGCGCAACTTCTTGCAGACATGTGAGGCAATACGGAGATCTTGGCCCATTGGTCACAGCCAAAGTTGTCAGGCAATGTCTTGCGGAATTTAGGAGCAAGGACGCTACTAGGGGCTCCTGGCCTTACTAGGAGCAAGAAGCTACTAGTTACAAAGGGCATCGCTACGCACCGGAGCAAGGACGCAAGTTGCCGTTGCAATGAACATGTGGAAGCGCTTCGAAGCGAACTCGCGGCGGGTCTGGGGAACGGTACAATTCGAAGTAGCGAGCGCAAAGCTCCAAAGCCTCGGGCAGCGAAGAAACGATTGGCGGGCAGCCTCGGAGTCAGTTCGTTGAGGAAATTCCAAGCGATTTGTGTGTCCCTGTCGGCCGTTCTCGGCTTTCTTCGCTTTCGGGGGTTTGCTGAAAAAATGCGTCGGTGAGTAAGGCAATCGTGGATCCGTGGACCGTGCCAACATTGGCTTCATTTAAATTAATAGCTTCTTGTTACTAGTAAGGCACCTACTACTAGTAAGGCACTTGTTACTAGTAGCGTGGCACTTGTTACTAGTAGCTTCATGGACGTGAAACTGTTTGTCTTCGCATTAGCCCCTAGTAGCGTCCTTGTTCCTAGTTAAAGGCCTTTCCAGACGCATAAAAGCTGCATCGGCCAAGCTTCTGCCGAACAAGGGTTGGAAGACGACGACGGTGTGCCACTTCCCGGCCAGTTGACCAACAAAGCTCGCAGGCGTGCAGTGTGGAACAAGTTTGGGAAGAAGTCGCCGCAGAAGGTTTTTGCTAAACAACCCTTTGCGTGGCTTATTACTTCGAGACTTGTTTGTGAAGGAATACGGGATTGGCGCCTCAAGCTTGTCCTGCTTGCAGTTCGCTGTCAAGACTGCTATGGTCCAGCTGTTCCATGATGCCAATTCTGTAGCCAGCACTGTGACCGGAAACCTTGTGGCCAAAGGATTTTCAGAACTCAGACCAATGACCTCGTGTTGTGTGGCTGGAGCCCTTCCGGCCTCAGCGAATCACAGAGTGCAGTGATGGCCGAGGCCCAGGTAATATCCTCAAAAAGTTCCCTGAAAGGCAATACCATGACCACTTGTGATGGTTGTTCTGGTGTGAAAGGCGACCGCTTTTCCAAGTGTTTGTCTCCCGCAGCGAAAACCACGTCCCTTTTTGCCATCGGATGGCAGTGAGATCTCGGAAAAGGTCCGGGTTGTGCACAAAACGCAGACAGACGCAGCTAAGACACCCCCGGGTAGCAGACAAGGCTTCCGCAAAAACACGGTCAAGCGCTGTCGAACTGCACGTTTCTTTTGGTTTCAATTTGTTGTTTCAAGAGTTTACACTCATTTTGATAAGCTCTAGACTCTATTTGCTTTAGAACAGGGGAATGCTGGTAGTAGAAAACAAGTAGCTGGTAATAAGGTAAGCTTAAGTAGTCACTACTAGTAAGTAGCGGATGCAGGGGCACAAGAAAACTTAGGTTTCTTTCAGGAACTTCTTGAAGTGATTGACTTGGTTCCTAGTCTGTTTAGAGAACTGCTTTCTTCTGCATGTTTTTTGAAACCTTTTGACTGCTTTCTTAAGGTTTCACCCGATATGTACATGATCGAGGGCAACGATTCCATACATCCGTTGGATGGGACAGACAGCAAAGATGCACCGGAGATGCTAAGACGCATCACATCCTTCTCACAGGGCACAGGCGCATTGGTGCCCACAGGGCAAGATAGAAGTCTCCAACACTTCGTTTTTGAAACAGACATGGTTTTGATCATTCAAGCACAACGATGGACACGAGGAAGATCTCAGTTGTTCCATTTTGCGTCAGCTTGCAGGGAGTGCCCAGTTGGAGAAGGTTGCATACTTGAGAACCAGAATTGGAGAAGGAGGTGCGTTTGCAGTTGGGGAAGATGAGAAAAGGGTTGAATATTGTTGCAGGCTTTAGCTGTGTTTGTATGCTTGACCCGGGACTGCTCGTGACATAAAACCAGGCAGCAAATTTATGTCTGACGACGACCAGGCGAAAAAAAATAATGACATGATCCATTTGTATTCTGAGAACAAAAACCCGCCCCGACCTTCGTTCGTAGCGTCGGAGTGATCGGCGTCCAACAGACCTCCCCGTAGCTCCGCAAAGACGGTTTGTTAGAAACGAAGCGAACAAACCTGGAGTGATGCTTGGATTGGCCACACGTGGCAAACTCTCAGATGGTGCAACACCCTTTTGCAATCCTCAGCTTGAAACGTGGTCCATGTTCCCTGATGATGTGCCCCTGTGTTGTGCAACCTACATCCTACCCACCTCAGTGCGCTGGATGTTTATGTGGCTCAAAGCAAACGTACATGATTCTTTTTTTCAAAACCAAGATTTTTGTGCTGGAAACGAAAGATTTTCGTTGTTTCTGCCTACGCTCACCCTGAGGCAAAGAACATTCACGGGCAATTCGGCGCAGGTTGCGCTTGAGGTTGGGCACTATCTCCACCACAAAGTGTGTCTCTGGGACCCTAGGCTTTCGCTTTGGTTTGGTTGCAATTTCTACTTTAAACTTTCACTTCTTCTTGTCACTCATGTCACGTGTTCTTCTTTTGCATTCGTCTTCTTTCTAGAACCTTTACGTCTCGCATGAATATGCCTTTATTTATCTCAGGACGTCATTGCATCAAGCTGTGCTAGCTCTGGGATTGACACGCTATAAGTTGGAGGAGACACCATAGCACGAAACAAACAAGAAAAAACAGACTCTCAGAGTGTCTCAAACTGCATGCCGTGTGTTCATGCACAAGACTTTTGCATCACCAAAAGGTGTGCATTCTAATGTGCTTTCTCGTAGCCTTCTTTTCATTTGCAGCTTGCAACCCACGGAGGTGTTGTACCATTGACCCAAGTCCATAATAAGCTTCTAAAGGGATTGCAGATGATTTGCGTCTGAAATCAGTGGGAGGAAGTAAACACGATTGTCAATGACTTGGCATCCTTTATCCATTTAGCCTTTGAGAAGGAAGATTGCCGCTCAGCTTGGACTTTGCCCCGTTTTTTGGACAGGGGAATTGCACGCGTTGATTTTCCACTTAGGATTATCTCCCCATTGCAAAAGCAATTCACATCCTTATTTTGGCCACACAAATCCCGAAAAGGACCCAAAGGCCCTGTCGATACGAGCCCCCTGCCTATCCCTGCCTTCTTTTCTCGAAGGTGAGCCAACTTGGCACTGGCCCAAGCAACTTGGTGTGGTTTTAGAATGTAGAGTTGATCTTAGGGTTTTCTGTCCAGGACTGAACGCTCTTTCCACAATTCAAGGTGTTTTGATTGAGTGCACTACATTTCACTGTAGTGCGCTACGTTTCAAGGCCGTTTGCTTCTCTTTGACAGACTTTGGGAAAACTTCAAGAACCAAGGCTGAAGGACCAGCATTTGTCTTTGTCCTCTGCCAGTTGGGAGAACTTGCGTAGCAGCAACCACAGTGTTGTACCAGTCAAAGCGCTGATGGAAATATTGCTCGCTCAAGATGGTGAGGTGCACAAGAGGACCGGGCTCTTCTCAGTTTAAACGGCTTTAATCGGGAGCTGTTCTTCAATTGTTTCAGGATTCTCTAGATCTAGAGTGCCAATTCCTGTCCAAGTGGTTCCGTTCGACTTTGTGCAAGTAGCACGCTTGTGTTGGGAACTTGAGACCTGAATTCCATCGAATCTCTTGGATTCCTTGAGGAAATGACATGTATGTGTTTTTCGACGGCAGTGAGACTAGTGCTTCTTTTGGAACAGTTTGGAAAGAAGCATATTCCAAACGCTACCGTTTTCCCTCCAGGATTTTTGGTCCGTCATTGCCCGCATTTCAAGCCATCCGTGAAGTCTTGCTTGCAGGTGATACAAATCGTATCTCGATAGCAAGACAATTTGTGTAATTTGGCGACTCAAAAGTCGGGCCACCTCCCAAACCCTTGGATAAAAGGCAAAAAGCAGTGGATCAATTGGATATTTGTGTTTGAACAGTAGCCATCTTGAGGATTCATTATGAATCAATACGTATGCATGAACCCAGTGAGTGTCCAAGACCAAAGACTGGTCAGACAATGAACACCTTGGAGACACTCCAGGTTTCAAGAGACAGGAGATGTTTCGGAGCCTAACAAGTGTCCGCAGTGTCCGCTGCGTGTCCGCTGCGTGTCCGCTGCGTGTCCGCCTGTTTCAGGCCTCGTTGCGGAATTGACCTTCGTCAGGCTGAACGATTTGGCAGCTCCTCCAGAACCAGTGCAGCTTGGCCTCCAACCGGTTGTGCGTGCCTAGCGTGCCGTTGTGCACCTCCTTTGTTTCACCAGCGGTTTTGTTCGTTCATTCTCACCGTTAGAACATATTTCTCCATCTCCGGACACATGCACGCGTCGCAAGTTGGTACTAGTCGTACCACTACAAAATTGCTGTTGTTGACACGACATGCAAAAACATGAGCGCTTCTTGTTACTAGTTCTACTACTAGAAAAAGCTCCTAGTAGCTTTCTTTACTAATTCAAATTCAATTCTAATTAAATGTTAATTACTATTTGCTTATTGTTTCTAATGGCAAACATTGTTCCTAGTAGTAGGGCCAGGAGCCCCTAGTAGCGTGGCCCTTTGCTCCTAGTAGCGATGCCCTTTGTTCCTAGTAGCGTCCTCTTGTGCACGAAAGCGTGGATCTGAGGCCACCGATGCTGTTCATCGAGATGATTGTGGCCTGCGTGGTGATCTCCAACGCCATCATGTGGCTTCACTGTGAACACCTGGACTGCTAGACCACCAAAAGGTTTCTGCGACATTTAACCATTGTTGTCATTTCAGCCTGAAACCAACAACATGCTTCGTAGGATGTTTGCAGCTCCAGCTTGAACCTAGGATGGGTTTGCAAATGGACCCAGAATATCATCACTGGGAGGGCTGGTTTTGGATGGAGTTGTGCTTTACTTCATTGCTGCTGCTGGAAGTTTGCATCCGTCTGCGGATTTTGGGTTGCCAAAATTTCTTCTGCGGCTTACAGGCTCGGGATTTGTTCGCGACTAGGAGCAAAGGGCCACGCTACTAGGGTCTCCTGGCATCGCTACTAGGAACAATAAGCTACTAGGGGCTCCTGGCCTTACTACTAGAAGCAAGGACGCTACTAGGGGCTCTTTAGTAGGTGATCAGGAAGTCTACTTTCTTCAAACACGGTTCGTGGGACAAGTCAGGAGCGGCAGATGGACAACAAGCTAGTTTGGTTTGAAATTGTGGACATAGCAAGCATCCACAAAATGCTTGACTCGTCCACAGGCTGCTTGGAGCTTCTTCGACCTATTCTTACTCGGCTGCGCCCTGGTGGATGTGACTAAAGAAGCACCCTGGCTGATGTTGGAATTGCCTCGGATAGCTGCAAAGGCTGAGCACATTCCTGGCGGTTCTTATGCCCTTTTGACATTTCATGTTCTCAATTGTTCTTTTCATGTTCTGTTTCCATCTCTTCAGCCAGCCTTTTCTCATTCCCTCCGAATTGATCTAAATCTTATATCTCATATAATCTCTTTGGCCTCACACCGATCACGAACCCAGTTCAGATCTAGTGCACATTGATGTTCTGTAAAGGTTTTGATCAGCCTGGGGATTCCATCCTTCAACTCGTGTTGGGCCCTTGTTCTCGAGACCTCCTCATTCTGATCCACCGCTGATCCACTCTGATCGTCAAACATCATCCATACTGTCCATACTCCACATCATCATGTTCTTTTCTGTCTCGCCCGTTCTCATCCTCAGCCTCAATCCACCAGTATTCATGCCCTTCTAGCCGCTTTAGCCTTCTAGCCAGCGGCCCATGGGCTTCATTTTGATCTGTTTATGAATGGCCGATTGAACCAGCACATGTACACACCAGAACACCTCGTATGAAGCAGACAATTGCAAGGGAATTTCGTCATCAGGTTCTGACTCAAGAACACCAAGATTTGTCTGGCTCATCTCTGTTGCGTCTTTGTCGGCTCGTGCGCTTGGTGCGGATCGTGAAGGCACCGCCGACATATTTTGTCGCGAGAATCTTGGTATCTAGTAGCGTCCATGCTCATGGTAGCGATGCCAGGAGCCCCTAGTAGCTTCTTGGTATCCTCTTCGCTTAAAGAGCAACACATGCCTCAACTGAATCACAAACAACATGAATGCATTGGCATCAATGTGATTATATGTGTGGAGCAGAAATGCAATTCTTTGTGGAACAGGCCTTTCGGTTGAAGTTTATGGGTGAGCTTCGGCTCATGGATTCTTGGCTTGTTTCAGCTTTTTTCTTCTTGTGGGTAGCGCATAAGAGCAGGCGTAAGTAAGCTAATTACTAAGCTTAAGAAGCTACTGCCCAGGACATAGGACAGCTCAGGCTTCTTCAAGGAAGTTACCCCCGCCTGAAGGTGGGGTACAAACTCTTGCACTATTCATTTTGTTCGTAGACTTTTGGGAAAGCTGAACTAACGTTCTTGACTTTCTTCCTTTTTCGCTCTTTCTCTCTGAGCTTTAGACATTTTTGGACCGGAATCCTTCAAACTTTAAACATTTCTTATTGTTCTTTCTGGAGCTCCTCACACTCAGGTAAAGGGCTTGATTGCTGGCATTCGAACATTGACCCTAGCCTTCATTTTGCTGTTCACCGTACTTTATGAGCCCTGGCTGCCAATGCTGAATTGATTCGGACAGGGTTTGCGTCGATTTGGAATCGGAATCCACATGAAAGCTATCGGTAGATAGAGCAATGCAAACCCAAGGCGTTTGTGTGGTTAGGAGGCGAATCGGCTCGTTTTCCAACTCTCTTGGCAGTACCAGAGCCTTCCATACCAACTTGCCTCACAGAAACATGTCTTCTGAACACCGTTGAATCTGCGCAGCCACAACAAAAACTGCACCGTTCTTTTTTTGCAGTTTGTATTCGGTGGAAGAAAGCAGGAATTGTTTCAAGGTACATGAAGCTGCTTCAAACACGTTCAAACCAGATACTGGTGAACACATGAACACACATGGGAAAATTGACGGCAAAATCCTGCCCCTGAGAAAGGATGTTTAGCTGCCAGAACGATTCTATGAGGTCTGGAATGCATTAGGACTTGCGCTTGGAACAAGCACGCTGTCTTTTTGACAGCACGTGTAAAGAATGGATGTATTTAACTATGGTTCCTTTGGCTGTTACCATTTTTCCCGAAAGCATTGCGAAGGGTTCTTCCGGAAAATCCTTTGAACACTGACACTTCGACACTTACACTTACACACTGACACTTCCACCACACTTGCACTACAACATGAACGCTATACGTACCCCAGTGTAAGTGGAAGAGCGAAAGCATCCAAGTGCAAAGTATGCAAGTGTGAAAGTATGCAAGTGTAAGTATGTCAATGTATGTCAGTATGTACGTGTAATGATGCAAGTGCAATGATGAGTATGCAAGCATGCAATGAGTAGGCAAGCATGTAATGAGTATGCAAGCATGCAATGAGTAGGCAAAGCATGTAAAAGCATGTAATGAGTATGCAAGCATGCAATGAGTAGGCAAGTATGAGCATGGAAAACTAGCACGGGAGATGTCCTAATGAAAAAACATTTCCCCACTTTATAAATTCTCTCTTAAAGGCGGAGGGTGGGACGAACAGCGTCAACCGAAAGTGCAACCGTCTGCGGAGATCGTGCGTGTCGAGTGCGCGAAATGCAGGCGAGAGTGCGATTTGCAACCTGCGCGCGCAACCCTCTGCGGAGATCGTGCGCGTCGAGTGCGCGAAATGCAGGCGAGAGTGTGATTCGTCCGGTGCGCGCGCAACCCTCTGCGGAGATCGTGCGTGTCGAGTGCGCGAAATGCA